TCAAGTGCAGATTTTTTTTCATAAATTGACTTCTTTTCCTTTGGGTAGATACCAAGTAGTAGGATTGTTGTGTCAATTGGTAGGTCTACTTTTAGTTCTTTGTGGAATCTCCATATCTTTTCCCATAGAGCCTGTACTTTGCAGTCCCACCAACAATGTATAAGCATTCCTTTCTCTCTGCATCTATTATTTTTGGACTTTTTAATAAAAGCCATTCTGACAGGGATAAAGTGATATCTCACTGTACGTTTAATTTACATTTCCCTGATGATTAGTAATATTGAGCATTTTTTCATATGTTTATTGGCCATTTGCCTATCTTCTTTTGAAATACTTCTGTTTGTGTCTTTTACCCACTTTTTAGTGGGGTTGTTAGTTTTTTTCTTGCTTATTTGTTTGAGTTCTTTGTAGATTCTGGATATTAGCCCTTTACTAGATGTATAACATGTGAATAATTCCTTCCATTCTATAAGATGTCTATATTCTCTGTGGATTATTTTCTTCACTGTGCAGAAGTGTTTTAATTTAATCAAGTCTCATTTATTTATTTTTGTTGTTGCCGAAATTGCCATTGGGGTTTTAGTCACAAATTCTTTGCCTAGGCCAATATTTGGAAGAGTTTTTCCTACATTTTCTTCTATAATTCTTATGATTTCATGCCTTAAATTTAATCTATCTTGAATCTATCTATCCTAAATTTATCTATCTTGAATTAATTTCTGTAAGTGGTGATAGATAGATATCCTGTTTCATTCTTGTGCATGTGGCTATCCAATTTTTCCAGGCCTATTTATTGAATAGGGCTTCTTTTCCCTAGCATATGTTCTTGTCTGCTTTGTCAAAGATGAGTTGGCTGTATGTAGATGTTTTATATCTTGGTACTTTATTCTGTGCCATTGGTCTATGTCCCTATTTTTGTGCCAATAATATGCTGTTGTGGTTACTATAGCCTTCTAGTATAGTTTGAAGTCTGGTAATGTGATGCCTTCCAATTTATTCTTTTTGCTTAAAGTTTCTTTGGCTATTCAGGTTCTTTTTGGTTCCAAACAAAATGAAGAATTATTTTTTCTAGATCTGTGAAATATGACATTGGTATTTTGATGGGGTTTGCATTGAATCTGTAAATCTCTTTGGGCAATATGCACATTTTAACAATGTTGATTTTACCAGTCCACGACTATGTTTTTCCATTTGTTTGTGTTATCTGCTATTTCTTTCCTCATTATTTCCTAGTTCATCCTGTAGAGATCTTTCACCCCCTTGATTAAGTATATTCCTAGGTATTTTATTTTCTTTGTAGCTATTATGAATTGCATTGAGCCTTTGATTTGACACTCAGCTTGACTGTTATTTTTATATAGAAATGCTACTGATTTATGTACATTGATTTTGTAACCTGAGACTTTGCTAAATTTATTTATCAATTCCAGGAGTCTCTTGATGGAGTCTTTGGGATTTCTAGATACAAGATCATATCATCAGCAAAAGCAATAGTTTGACCTTCTCTTTCCCAGTTTGGATACCGTTTATTTCTTTCTCTTGTCTCATGGCTAGGACTTCCACTATTATGTTGAATAGAAGTGGTGACAGTGGACATCCTTGTATTGTTCCAGTTCTTAGGTGGAATGCTTTCAATTTTTCCCCATTCAGTATGATGTTGGGTATGGGTTTGTCATGTATGGCTTTTATAATTTTGAGATCTGTTCCTTCTATACCTAGTTTGTGGAGTGTTTTGATCATGAAAGTGTGCTAGAATTTGTTGAATGCTTTTTCTTCATCTATTGAAATTGTCATATGGTCTTTATTTTTGCTTCTGTTTATGTGGTGAATCACATTTACTACTTTGAAACTGAATTGCTGATGTCAAGTTTGCTAGTAGCCCCCAGAACTTGATATAGATTTAAAATTTGACCTACTAACATTATTGAGTCTTTAAACCCATGAACATGGAATATATCCCTATTTATTTTGATCTTCTTAGATTTCTTTCATCAGATATTTGTATTTTACTGCACACAAATCATATACATAGTTTATTAGATTTACATTTAAGAATTTCAAAGTTAATATGCAAAAATCAATTTTTTGTATACACCTGCAATGAACAATTGCAATTTGAAGTTAAAGCATAATACTAGTTACAAAAAAATGAAATTCTTAAATGTAAATCTAATAAGCTATATATAGGATTTATATGCAGTAAAATACAAATATCTGATGAAAGAAATCTAAGAAGATCAGAATAAATGGGGATATATTCCATGTTCATGGGCTTAAAGATTTAATAATATTAGTAGATCAAGTCTACCCAAGAGTAACTGGATTCAATGCAATTGCAGTCAGACTCCCAGCAAACTACTTTGTGGATATTGACAAAATAAATTTAAAGTTTATATGGAAAGGTAAAAGAACAAGAATAGCCAACACACTACTGAAATAGAATGATATCAGACACTCCGTGCCTTCAGGACTTATAAATCTATGGTAATCAAGACAATAGAACAGTACTAGCAAAAGAATGCACACATAGATCAGTGGAACAGAATATAGTCAGGAAATAGACCCACAGAAATATAGTCTACTGATCTTTGACAAAGGAGCAAAGCCAATAGAATGGAGCACTTTTTATAAAAGTGAAAACTCCATACATGATAAAAATCTCGAGAAGGAGTTGATTTTTTAAAAGAAAAAAGTTTGTATTTATACACTGGAATGATGTAGCTCTCCATATAAAAAGGACTAGGCAATATTGTTAAAGAAAAGGGTGTTTCACAAAATGTTATATATAGAATTATGCCATTTATGTAGAAATATATTAATAATATGTAGATTCACAGGAAAAAACTTGAATCAACATATATCAAACTATGAGCAGTAATCATCTGTGAATGTAGGATTATAGTGGATTTTTACTTTCTTCTTTATGTATTTCTAATTTATTTTCATTTTCAAAAACAGACCTATATTCATTTTTAAAAGAAAATAAATATATTTTGGAGATTCAATCTTATTTAAATAAAGAGAAAATCAAGAAGTAGAAAGATTAGGGCAATGCACAACTGCAGCAAATAGTTCCCAAACGTCATCCTCAGACAGAACCAGGGGCTTTCTGATGTAAACACTAGTTGTTATTTTATGTACTTGCCATGAAGGTTCTCTGGGCCAGCATGTCTTCCTCCACCGCGTGGTTTAACATTGATGGTAGTAGGGGTGCAGATGGCAAGTTTTCAGCTGTATTGCAGCAGGGCAAGAAGGTTAATATTTAGAATAAAATATCCCCTACTTCCAGGAAACATGAAAAGAGCAAAATATACCCTGTGGAAGAAAGAAAGATGATCTGAAATTCGAGCCCCAGCTGCCCCAGCCTCTGCCCTGCCACCTTTCACCGGGTGCTCCGGGAACAAGAGCTCCAGAGAGTAAGAAATGAATGGTCTGAAGTCCTCATCCATTGCCCTAACAATGGAATTAAAGAGTGAAGATGTTTCATGCTCAACAATGGTAGCTTGTTTTATACAAATAATATAAGGTAGGAATTAGATCTTCTTTTACCTGGAATTGATTCTTTAATAATAATTTATAATTAATTTTGTGAAAAAATTACGAAGGTATTGTAAGAACTTAAAAAAATCAAAATGTTAAATTGAATCACATCAGGGGATATATAGTAGGCCTGGTGCAGTTGAGTCAAAGGATTGGGTGGAGTCCATTCTGGAACTCTTCCCACTGCCAAAACTGAATAGTAAGTCAAGTTCAAGCTTGGAGCACACAGTGTAGGGAGCCATACGCTCCATCCCAGCATAAGGGGTGGAAGGTGACACACCAGGAAAGGCCTTCCCATGGAGGCTGGAGGGAAGGCTAGGACAGGGAGCTGAGGAGTCCAGACAAGCAGGCAGCAAGGTTAAAGAGATTAGACAGAAGGGAAGAGGGCCGTAGACTTGTATGGGAGAGGGTGGGATGTTTAAAAGACTGATGAATAAAAGAGAACCCCACTCCTACAGGACCTATGTTAATAGGTGGACAAAAGATAGGTTCAGCCACTACTAAGACAAAAGCCTAGTTGTAAGAACTGTGTCTCAAGACCATGGAAGAATTCATAGCCCAAGCGACCTGATTCTGCCCCAAGCTGCTTCAGTGCTCCCTGTTAAGGTCCTTACTGGTCCTGAGTGTTTCATGTGGGAGCCGGGAAAGTGGGAATGTTGAGACTGCAGCTGAGAGCCAAGGAGTCCCAGCTTTAGGGAGGAAGCAGATGACAGTTTGAGTGTATTTTGAACTAAAGGAGAAAAAGTTATTTATGATGTATGCATAAAAAAGTAGGAATGCAGAGAATTGGCTAAAGAAAAGATATCATAAAAATAAAAGCCCTTCAGTAAAACAGGGTCCCTAAATCAAAACACTTCGTAGCAAGATCATGGAAGTCTCTCTGTCCATCTCAGTTGCTTCTGCAGCCAGCTACTGGCCATGCATGTGGCAGTCTGACCAGAACATTCCGCATTTCTGGACCTCTTCCAACTGCACTGGGCTGAAATATGTGCCGGATGGAGGGCTGGCCAAATACCACTGCTGGAGCCACAAAGCAGCGGTTCCACTGTGAGGCGTGAAGTCTGTTCTGGAGTGCCAACATTCCCATCTGGGGGCCGTTTGCAGAAGTGCACGCGAGCCATGTTTTTACTGTCTGAAAAGGTGTGCACTTTGAGCGCACACTGACATACGCAGAACCGCACGCGTGTGCTCGTAAGTGCAAAGCTGTCATTTATTCTGAAATGCTCCACATTGTTGCTCACTCTTCTCAGTCTAAGCCTAATTACACATTCACGTTTCTTTAAAAGGCTGCTTCTCTACGTGAGTGCGGAAGTGGGTTGACTGTCTTGTACATACACTCATGAGCAACTCCATGGAAGATTTTTTTTTGGAAAAAGAACATTCAATTTTTTGTAATTTTATATTGGGAAAAAGTGTAAATCCTCTTATCATCACACAAATGGCAGGAAATATAAGTTAACATAATTTTTTTGACAAGAAAATTTTGGTAGGGTGGGCCAAGTTTGACTTTCTTTGTGATGTCATTTGCTTGGCTAGCAGTATTCTCCAGCCCACCACCCCTACAAGAGTGTGAGTCCCTTGAGGACAAGACTAACAGCAGAAACACTTTCTACACTTTCAGAGGCCTTTATAAAGTGGTAAGAAGCTTTGACTGCTAAATACAGCATGAAGAAATAGGAAGCTGCACAAGAACTGGAGACAGACTGCCTGGGTTCCAGTCCCGGCTCCACCAGGACAAAACTGCACAACCTTGGGTAAGTATTCTCACCTGTAACATGATGACGGTAATATTTCATCCTCATAGGGCTACTGTGAAGATTAAATGAGTTTTGTTAAAAAATAAAAACACTTAGAATAGTTTTGAGCCCATAGTAAGTGAGATGGAAATATTGGTACTTCTCATGTAACATGTGACATATGACATACATGTGTACTCGCATTATCCTCATAACAGACCTGTGACGTAGTCATGGGAGTTAGCTCCATTTTGCATGGATGAGAAGCTGGGTCTCAGGAGGTCTTGCCTAAAGCCTCGTAGCTGCCGAGAGCTGGAGCTCAGGCTAGGTCCCAGTGCTTAATAGCAACCACTCCGGGCAGGACCTATGGTACATTTTGTTTTAATTCATATCAAGGAATCAATTACAAAATCTTGTCATTAAATTTAGTGATTTTCCAGCCATATCAATCTAAGAGTAAATAAGAATCACAATAACACTGATTAAAACAGCATTTATCTGACCCACCCTCACCAGCAATTTGGAAAATTCCGGCCCCCTGAAATTTATTTGAGCAGGTCTAGGAGTCTGGGAAATGTATGATAGGTTCTCACACACAATTCTCCTTCGCTATCACTTCATGAGTGACTTTCTCATCATTGACTTCATCTGCTGTGGAGATGGCTGTCATGGGGACACCTGTGACTTAGCCAAGGCTGCCCATAGCACCTTTCTCCACTTGTTCACATCTGCACAACCCGAGCCCACGCTGAGTGGGCTGCCGCTCACGCCACTGGGCTGCCTCACCAGTCCTCTGCCCAGGGCGGGATATAACCCAAACCTAGGCCCAGGCTGTGACCCACTACTAATGTAGGACATCAGGAATTTAATCCCTTCTTGATCAATATATCATAGTAATCCTTTATTAGTCATAAAATGTCAAAGTATAATTTCCAAAGATGTAAAATCATGACTCTCAGGAAAATACAAAATGAGTGCATGTCAAAGATTTTTATTTAACTCATTAACTAAAAAGGGAGCCAGTATGTTATGACGAGTTCAAAAGGCATTTTAGAAGCTACAGCATTTAAAGGAGGATGAGATTTTCTGGCTTAGACACAAAATTAGTTAATGCCCAATAGGACTGTAAACAAAGCAAACATTATTCTAGTGAAATATAGAATCTCACCTATCTAGCCAGTCATAGAAAAGGTTAAGAAAATAACCTTTTTTTACATCCTGTTAAGAGTTCTAGGATAAATTGATCATCTAAACAAAGGGAAAGCCATGTTCAAGTTTTAATAAAACAATATTTGGCAGTAAACATTTCACAATTTTTTTCACTTCTTGTGAATAAATCCATCAAAAAATGAGCCATCTTTGGCAAAATTTTTATGCCTTTTATTGCCTCTTTTAGACTTATTATTATAAATCAAAGCAAATAAAATTTCTTTTTCTGCAAGCCTTCTACAACTTTCTATATTCATTCAGATTTTGTTTTTCACTATCTTTACTCGCAGTCTGAAACAACTTCAACACCCAAGTCCTCTACTCTCTGGTTAACTTGATGAACAAGGACATACCACACAAGAGCGTATCCCTTTCTTGCACAGTTAGATTTCTCTGTTAATGTTGCTCATAGTAGAGTCTCAGGTACCCATACTATTATTCTTATAAAACTACCTTTTTTTTTTCAAGAAAAAACTGGGAGGAAGAAAATTGAGAACTATCTATTATGCTTAAGTATTTGAGCAGAGAGCAAATCTAAGAAATGCAAATGCACACAACATTATATTCCACAGCCACGCACACCCCTCTTATTCCCTTTCAAAGGGGCAACATAAACAGCTTAATTAATACGACATTATAACATATGAAAATAAGAAGCAAAAATATGTAATTTTAACTTATGCTTAGAAAGGCCTCAGTATTCAATTTTACTTAGATATTATCTAGACATCCAGAAGTTACTTATTAATCAAATGTTTAAATAGTCTAAGGGTCTTGGACTATTTAAAAGGTGACATACTATAAAACATAATTTCTATTGATATAAAAATATTGGTAAAATAATTATCCAATTTTCTTGAACACAAATTTGTCCTTTCTATAATTTTAAACATGATGTAGTAGCAGTATTTAGTTTTTGATCAGTAAATAAATATAAAATTTTGGGAAATTCAAGATAAGACAAACTTAAATCTTATGAAAAATGGACACTTGTATTTTATTTAACATAAATGAGAGAAAAGACTTATAGCTGTTTTTTTTTTCTTAAGACAAAAGTATAAAGCCAGTCTGCTTTTTTCCAAAGATTCATCTTAATTATATAAACTTAGAGGTCTTAAAATACTTTTAAACTAGCAGTTTTTGTAAGAAGTATATACGTTCCAAAAAACATATCACATTAAAAGTATTAGAAGTTCTGTTTCTTTATTTTCTGTGATATTTTAATATATCATATTTATGATGTATTTATGTAAGTGTTTATCTATATTAGCCAATCAGAACAGAGCTCCTTCAACTCAGGAGACATTATAAGTTAACATATTAATACCATCTGGTGGTAGGAAAATATTTCACATTCATGTAATGATTGATACAGCCCTTCCCAAATTACAGACACACAGACACATCAGCTTACAGTTTTAATTCTGCAACTTCAGCCACAGGTCAAAAGTAAATACAGAAACACAAAAATTCACCAGTCTAGGTCTCAAAAGAGCTGCTTGTCTTTCCTGAGGACATGAAATTGTTAATCAATTTGAGTTCACAAATAAGCAAACAGACACACAAAGAAAAAAGACTAACAAATAGCATTCTTTATCATCTATTACCCAACAGAGGGTATATATCTACATCATCTATCCAATAAATGATTATCTATCCATTAAATGGTCAAATCACAAAACTGAATTCCCAAACATTGCTGCTGCCAATAGGAATAATGTATCAGCCACATGTGAAGCAGAAACAGAAACAAAACAAAATTATTAAACAGGAAAAAACAAACGTAGATAAAGGGAATAAGTGAAGTTGAAGTTTCATTGACACTTGAGATTCACTCAAGGAGTTGAGAAAATATATATATGGGCTTAAACAATCCCAGAGGGTCATGCCTGAGTCTAAGTCTGAGATACTCTACTTGGCTCAGCAGATAAATCAGCCTGGAGTCTTGGTGAAGCTTCAAAACCTAAAGTACAAGTCTCAAAAGAGTAAAATCATGATCTTCACACAAATATAAAAGGAATGTATAGCAATGATTGTATTTCACTCACTAAATAATCAAGAAACATATAAGATGTGATGACTCATTAAAAGAACATTTTAGGAGCTAGGATGTTTATAGAAGGATAAGAATGCTTGGTTAGATATAAAATTGGTTAATTTCCACAGGGCCATAAAACCTTAGAGTTATCTGTTCTACTGGAGAAAAACTACTTGTATATTTCTCAAAAATTCTCCATGTTAACATGAAACATGACTAAGCCTAGGAAATTTAATCAATTGTAAACAATCAGTTGCACTATGTGCATTGCTGGAGAAAATTTTTGACAAGTCTTCACACCACACAGCATTGAAAGTTCATGCCAACCACTTTTTTGAATGTTATTTTTGACTTTTGAATATTTTCACTTATTTACCTCACAGAAAGGAAAGAAGAAAGATCTGTGGTTTAGCTGGAATTCAGTTTAACTTTATGAAGGAAGGGTGAGAATCTAGAATTTTGTAAAACCATACTTAAGAGTTTACTATTCACAAATCCAGCTATTGTGAAATATTATAATTTTTCTTTATCATCTCTCATATTTTCTTTCTTATATTCTTCTTGTATCCCTTTCTTGGCATAATTGTCTCCTCCTCTACTACCATCCCTATACTAAATGCATCTTCCAGGAAACCAGAATGAACAGTTTGTTCTCTCTCTCTCTCTCTCTCTCTCTCTCTCTCTCTCTCTCTCTCTCTCTCTCTCCCCATGTATACACACACATACACACTTCTTCCTTGCACTGTGGACCAAATTCAAATTATTCTTCCTTTTCTGAACTCTACTTTCCTCAGTTCACTGCTATTAACCAAATGTGTTAATGGCCCAAAGAGTTGATGGATTACTAACACTAAATTAAAGGTAGCTAGCATTGTAGGTAGCTATAACAGGTGAATTGGGCTGGCTTCTCAGTTATCAGCAAATATAACAGAAGGTTAAAAAGCAGTGTACGTTGTTTACAGATGACATTATTGTCTGTGTCGAAAATTCCGAAGAATCAGGAAAAGTACTCTCTGGAACTAATAGTGATTATATCACTGTCACAGGATACAAGGTTAATATACAAATGTTAACTACTTTCCCCTCTACTGGCAACGACTAATTAGAATTTGAAACATCTGCATTAGCACCAGTAAAAGGAAATACTTAAGCATAAATCTAATAAAATATGTATAAAATCTATATGAGGAAAACTACAAAAATTATGATGGAAGAAATCAAAGATCTAAATATATGATTGCAACTATGTGGCACTCTGGAAAAGACAAAACTATAGAGACAGGAAAAAGATCAGTGGCAGCCAGAAGTTTGAGGGGATGAAAGGAGGAATGAATAGGTGGAATATAGGGGATTGGGGGGATGGTGAACATAATCTGTGTGATACAGGACCATATACATTCGTTAAAACCCATAGAACTGTGTAACATAAAAGGTACACTAATGTAAGCTAGTTAGTGACCATGTATCAATATTGGTTTACAAATTGTAACAAATGTACCATACTAATGCAATTATATTGACAATAGGGAAAACTGTAGGAGGAATAGAGAGGAGGAAGAGGAAATATATGGGAACACTCTGCACTGTTCTGTAAACCTAAAAAATTGCTCTAATAAATATTTTGAAGTGAGTTACACAATTTGCAAAATGAACTAGCTTGTATCAGCTTTTCTCCTGTGAATCTAAAATGGGATAGAATATCCACTAACAATCATATAATTTGGACTCTAACACAGAGGGAAACCAAATGCATCCTTTTTGGAATGTCAACATGTTTGAACTCAGTTCCACATAGGTTCAGGTCATAATGGAATTTCTTCTTTGTAAAACAGGTTTGGAAGGTGGGAGCAAAAGGGAGCTTTTCAAGCATCAGGAGTAGCCATGGACCTTGAATGCCAACCTGGGGACTCCTCCTCCCCTGTTTTCCCAACATCAGCACATAGTAGAACTTTTTGGAATGAAAGAAGAGTTACATGGCAATGAAATGAGGTGGGTGTTGGAAGGCTAAAACTGAGTTTATATATGCGAGATATGTCTTGCCTAGAAAACAGGCAGTGGTTGTTGGTGGTTGTGGTGGGATGTGGGTGTGTGCATACATGGTCATTTTTGAAGCCTTTAATGGTCCTCTTGCCAATTATAATCAGAAAGTTATTTGAATTTCTTCTCTGGAGGTATGATTTTTCAGTTCCAGATATTTATTGTATGATTGTATTCACCGTCTCTATTAGTATATGAAGACAAAACAAGGTGGTATAAATAAAATTTTAGCAGAGCATATTGTTTTAGCAAATTACATTCAGGGATGATATATTAACACATTATATTTGCTAAAAATTAGAAGAAAAAGTAATGATGGGTCAAGGAGAAATAAAGAGAATTAAAATACACGAAAAAAAAACTATGAACAGGCAAAGGAAATATTGAGTAATGCATAGTTCAGAAAAACTAATGAAGGGAAGATGACCAACACACTGAGATGCACCTGTTTATGTTCAAACATAATTTATCATAGTTTCCCTGGTTAAGAAGATTTCATTGTACATATGGACTAGTGTGATAATTAATTTCATGTGTCAACTTGACTGAGCCATGGGATGCCCAGGTGTTGGATAAAACATTCTCTGTGTGAGGGTGTTTCTGGGTGAGACTGACATTTGAATCAGGGGACTGGGCAAAGCACAGTGTCCTCCCCAGTATGTGTGAGACTTACCCAAACCCTTGAAGGCCTGAATGGAAAAAAAAGGCTGAGCAAGAGAAAATTTATTTTTTCCATCTGAGGATCTTCAAGCTGAGACATTGGTCTTCTTTTTCCTTCAGGCTCAGAGTAGAACTTACAACATCCATTCCCTGCTCCTCAGGCCTTCAAACCATAGATCTGGGAAACTTGTCTCCATGATCCTGTGAGCTGATTCTTTGTTACATATGTGTCTCCTATTTCTGTCTCTGGAGAGCTCTGACTAATGCAGCTATGTATATAACCACACCAAAAAGCTTACTTGTAACCCCAAGAATTTGAAAATGTAAAGACACACACAAAAAAGACTTTCCTCAAAATTATGAAGAAAGGAAGAATAATCATAGACACACCTTCATAGACGTGCAAAATCACACAATTCCAACAACTACCTTTCAGGCTACCCACAGCCCTTAGTGTGTTCTCCTTTCATAGCATGTATCACTTGTGCTGTGGGTGTTTATTTAGTGTCTGTCTCTTACCTCCTCTGTGCTAACCTATTATGTTAGCCTATAGGGCTGGGAGCCATGTTTCTACATTAGACATAATACCTGACCATGGAAGGCACTTTCCTTATAAAGGATATCTTTGTGCAATTCATAGATAGGTGGAAAATGAATAAATGGGTTTTTTTCAAAGTCAATATAAATTAAACACAATGGGCAAAATTCAATTTAAGTTTTTCATAGTGAAATCAAATATTGTATTGGGCAAAATCAAAACATTAATTATAGGCTTCAAAATGACAGGAAAACATTAAAAATGGCAGACTATAACCCAATTTGAAGTTGTATAAAAAATCTTCCTGTTTAGAATTTCAATCTTATTTCTCATTTGACACTTGAATTTACTTTCTTTTGCCTTTCAAATCAAGTACACTAGGCATATACAATTAAATAAGTTGTCCAATAAATGGATTTTACTGTTTAAATACAAAGTAAAAAAATTGAGTGAATGTTAAACTAAAAATGTATTTTATACTGTGTGTAGTTTTGTTTTGCTTCAATTTTCTAAAAGAAAATTGGCAGAAGCTGGAGACAAGTGGTAGTAAAAACCAAAGTGTGGAGATTCTGATATAAATTTTTTCACATACTTCATAAATATAAGGTTTTATTTTTAACATATTAATAAAAATGTTCTGTCCTACCCTTTAAAAACAGACACAATCTATATTTTGAGATTAAATGAGAAAGAAATCAGAAATTAATGTCGAGAAAAAAAATACGGGAAAATTTAAAGTAATAAAACAGGCTATGAGTGCATGTCCAACAATCAAGGATGCAGGATGCATGTTACTCTCATGTATATCTTGTAGATGTTCTACAGGCAGGAAAAATGGTGTTCATCCTATTTGATGTACCATAAAACATTAAGTTACCCATAACCAGTGAAATTTAACAGAAGGTAAATACTCAAGAACCTGGCAGCTTGATGCAAATATATTAATATTTAAGACTGATTTTACTATCAGAAATGATTAGTATGACTTCAGGATCTTTTGTTAAATTTCTCTTTCTTTCTAAGCAAAAATTACATTCTTAAGTCTCTTACTGAGGGGAAACTAACCCTAATATGACTTACGCAACCTAATCCTGATGCAAAAATCTTAACCTGCAATTAAAACAATTCTACACTGAAAAAAATGTCCTGCATAATCACCTCAACAAAGAGGAAGTAGTAAAGGAGAAAACAAGTATAATTTTTTAAATGCCCCTTGATTTTGAAAACAATAGAAATAAAATTGAAAGCTCTACAGTTGCTTTTATTAATCCTATCGTAACATTTTAATATATTTTAATTTAGAAAAATATTGATTTTTTAATTAACGATACAAAAAATGTAAAACAGCATAAAATATTCCATTCTATCTCATGTACTCAGTGGGTTTTTCCTGTTTACATTATTTACTTAATTTCAACTGACAAACAGAAATAGTATATATTTATGGACTACAATGAGATGTTTTGGTAACATTTATGTTGTAAATGACGAAATCAAGCTAATTAGCATATCTATATCTCATGTCCTTATCATTTTTGTGGTGAGAACATTTAAAACCTTCTCTCCCAGTAACTGTCACCATGCTGTGTAATAGATCTCCAGAACTTATTACTTCAACCTAATGGAAACTTTTTTATATATATGTATGTGTGTGTGTGTGTGTGTGTGTGTGTGTGTGTGTGTATGATGGAGACAACAGAATTTCCGGGAAGCCACTGGTAGGAAGCCCAGCCTTGCCCAGGGAGGGCAGGAATCTCTGGCTGTTGCTCAGGGTGACCATGCGCCAGTTTGCCGGGACAGTCTGGTGTCTGCCATGGTGGCATAATTAAAACTCTTGCACCTTTCCACTCTCAGACCTGTCTCACTTTGGACTATAAATGGCACGGCCAGCCCAGATCTGTCACTGGGTGTCTTTCTTCTCCAGGAACAGGGCAAGCCCCTCACAGGCCTACATCATGTTGTATATGTCTTTGTATTTATTCCTGGCAGCCTCCTGTGCAGCTGCGGGGCTGTAGTCAGCCATGCATACTTAGACAAGGAGACAATAACTGATGTTTTGCCTGCTATGTGCCAGGTAACGGCACACATGCCACTTCCACATCTATGACATGAAGTATCATCCCTGCTTACAGCTGGGGGAGAGGTCCAGCCCTTGCTTGAGTTCAGCCAGGTGGTGCCTGGCCCAGCAGACCACATCCTGGGCATCTCTCGCTGCCTCTCATGTCCAGTCTGGCCACGGCAGCCCTGCAGCCCCTGCCTTTGTCAGAGGTTCGCTCTGCAGCGAGTCACCTCACGTGTAGCTTGGACAGAGCAAGGCCTGGAGGTCCTGAGGTCCTGAGGCACCATTGTCTTGCCTGCCCACATCACTGGGCCTGCTCTGCAAGAAAGTGTGTCCTCATCCTGCCCCGTGGTCAGGGGCTGGAAATTCCCTTGGAATAACATCAAGTTCAATGCCAAATTCCTGGGAAAAAGCCCAGGAAACCATGAGCATCTCCCAAGTTCCCGAGACCAGACAGAATGACTCACAGGGATACCGACCCCCACATTCTCCCTCCCCACTCGCCCCAGGGTTCCCTTGCACCCCCGGAGTCACTCCCATCTGGCCTTCTCATGCCCAGGGCCGCTCCGACTCTGGTGCCTCCACTGGTTTTCACCTGTGCTGCTGTGATTTACACTGTCTCCTTCCAAATGTGAGTTGGGTTCAGAGTAATTTTGCAAGTTATAAAATAATTTACTACTTGTGGCTTTATGGCACCAAATAAAATTTTTTAAAGTAGAAATAATTCTGGACTCCTTACTACCAAGTAGAATATTGTCTAAGTTTATCACAGTGTTAGCTAATTCCACAATCTAATAATGGAAAAAACATAATAAATTAAAATATTCTTGTGAATTCTGAAGCACATCAGTTGCAGTAAATTTCAATTGTTTATGTGCTCATTATTTAAAACATGCACATTCCATCAGAAATATGTTTACATAATAATGTGTGTATTACATGATATTGTAATATCAGCTACAATTATTTCCTTAAATGAGTTTCTAAAACAAAAATGTTGGCCTTGGCATGAATAAAGAAGTAATTTGACGCAATATACTATCAAGTGTTACTGAGGACATCTCTTGAGGTATCAAGAAACTACTTTTGGGAAAAGATGAACTATGCATTGAACCTTACGGAAGGCCAGAATTTAGACAATCTTCAAAGGGGACAGAGGTAGCCCAGGGAGCAGGATATGGAAAATGAGGCACAGAGATAGGAAAAAGCATAGCGGCAAAACAGCTACATAAACAGGAAACAGTGAAGGGTTTTGAGAAGTGTTATGATTGTTACAATCTCCATACACCAATGTTAGAAGAAAATCACCATTTCTGCCATTCCTCTTCACAGTAGACCGTGGCAGCTGCCTCGCAGGGAATGCTGGGGCGGGGCACCATGCGTGTTAAGGAGTGCATTTGAGAGAGGATTGGAATAGATAAGCGATTTTCTACTTTACCTTGGACCCAACCACCTTGACTGCATGTTAGATAGTTTTGCTTTCCTCAGTGGGTCTTGAATGTGTTGGGAAAAAAAAATACCATATAATTAATATGAGGCTTTCTGTTCATGGTCTTCTTTCCTCTAACTAAGCCTATAATTTTACTCATAGATATTATCCAATTGAAACACATGAAACATGATCTTAGACAACTGTATATGAAATATTTGTGTAATGAATACTACTGAATAGGAAAGACGTGTTTCTAAAGACAT